GAACCGCGGGGTGCGCCTCGCTCCCGAGCGTTGTCTGCGCTAAACTCTGCCCCAGGTACGCCATGGATTGCCAATAAGAAATTAATGACGAAAACAGGTTTTGTAGGACCGCACATAGAGGGCCCTGAACCTAGGGGTTAAGTGGTTAACATAAATCTGTCCTGTTACAGACAGTACTCGAGCGGTGCTTTAGTGTGGGAGAAGCACGTTAGAACATCAGAAGAGGGAATGAGAGGCAGTAAGCGAAGTTACTGAGTGAGAGGAAAGAGGTCTCGTCTCTTGGGCCTCCGTGGGTCGCACAGCAGCCTTCTGCTTGAAACGTTTCTGTTGAAATTCCTTTTGCAGCTCAGTTCCCCTAAGGTTATTTGCCTCTCACAGTAAACAGTGCCTCGAGCAGCGCCACGCAAACTGGCAACAGATGGTCCCGTATACCTTCTCTTTGACTTCTCCGTCTGTAGGGTGCGTGGCTTCTGTGATGGGATGGGCTTCGAAGAAGTAAAGCAACCTGTTATCCGTTTGAATTCCTTTGTATGCATAAGCATGCAGCAAATTGCGCCCTCCTTTCCCTGGAAAGGCATCACAGATGTCTAGAAAGGCAAACACAGGGGATAATCTTTATCAAAACCTCTTTCAATAAGATTTCTGTTGCAAATCTTCACTAATTTGTCTCTTCTCTGATGTATTTATCAAATGTAATTCTAGCTTGTTTGGTGTTTCATTATCTTTTACAGGGTTTAAGTGGATTTACAAAATTACTATTAGATATATTTATTATAAATATCATTGGGAAAAATATCATTGTTCCTGGTCTAGAACATCAGTATGCTTTCTACACTTAAACATCCAATAGGCACAAATCCGGTATTAGTATGGCCACAAGTGCTCTTACCAGCTCCAAGATTTCTCTGTAGCATTAATGTACTTCATTTAGTACAGCTTCATAATTTGTAATGGACTGTGATTTAACACATACCAACTGATTTATACTTCATTTTAAGGAAAACGAAGTGGATGGTCCTGTGGGAGACTATAACCATCAGAAAGAATTCTTTCAGGTTTAAGCATGTCCTTGTATAACCTCTTGTGTTGAAAACATAGAGTCTGATACAAACAGAAATTAAGTTGGCTCAGATTTTGGCAAATGAGAGAAAAGGAAAAAAATCCTAACCACAGTGAGGAAGCTTGATGCTGCTGCAACGTGAGTTTGCTGACTGAGCTACCATAAAATAGCAGCACAAAACCAGGAAAATGTAACGTGGTTCAGCACACAGGTACCTGGGCAACAACCTGAACTTGTCTGTTTTCACTGGAGGAAAGAAACATCTTGTTGCTCAGTAAAAATGAGGTTGATCTGTCTGCCTTTCCACGTCTTCCATGTTGCTAGCTGACAGTGAAACATCTTTCTGCTTTGTTTTTTGCAGGGGGCTTTTTCTCCACCATCTTTTCCAGTTTGTTTGGAACTCGAGAGATGAGGATTCTCATCCTGGGACTGGACGGAGCAGGAAAAACCACCATTCTGTACAGGTTACAAGTTGGAGAAGTTGTTACCACCATTCCGAGTAAGTGATCAGTGAAAACACCCGATTTGCCCGTAGCTCTAACACACAAGCTTTGTCAGCTGAGCGGGCTATGCGCTTCCTTCCTAAGCAAAAGGACCTCACACCGTGGGAGCCTTGCACTGTTGTATTTAAGAACTTTCTTGCATAACAGTATTATGGTGTGCTATAGAAGTACTACATAAAGGAGTATTTTATGCTGCCCTGCTGAATGCAAAAAGTATTTGACCTTAAGATTGTTACTGTGATTTGGCAGGCCTTTCTTGATAGGTAAATGTTCAGTAAATGGTAACTGTTACTTTACAAGTCTTTGGTCTCCAAATACATAATGGAGCTATAATGCAAATTCTGGAGATCGTTATTATTGTACATAGGATGGTGTCAGTGAATCGTACCTATTTAATTTCTTTTTTTGACAAGGGTCTTCAGTTTGTTATTTAAACACTTCTGTTTAACACAGAGAGGAAGCAATCAGGTGGTTTAAATTTACATTATGTAGGAAGTATAACAAAACTTGATGTGGAATCTCATGGAAGGAGATGACGCTTATTTGAAAAAATGTAACTGATTTCACCAATTGTCTTAGCGTTCAGGCAGCCATAGCCACCTGTTCCAAACGCCCAGACGTGTGTGCCGAAGTGGTCTGGCTAGGATTACTTGCTGTGAAGTTGGAGGACAAGGGACACTTGGCTTTTGAGTCCCTGTCACGTCTCGTGGGTTCCTCCTGATTGGCCACGATCAGCTGACTTCGGTCAGCTCTTTTTTACCTCGTCGAAGCCAGCAGTTTACTGTGCTGTGATCCTCCTGCCCTAGGGTTGCGCTTATTTCAGCCTCCATAAATTTTAGGCAGTCTGCATCCATCGCTTCCTTGTGCCGTGTCTCTCGGGGCTGGCAGGAAGAGGAGTGACATACGTGATCAACAGGCTGTAACCTCATGCCACCTTCCAGATACCACAGTGTATTGGCTGTAGCCTCATTGCCGCCTTCCAGATACCACTTCTGCTGAGAAGTGGGTTCTGCTGTCGTCTTATGAGAGTGCAGATCTGGTGTTGACAGGAAGGACGTGTTCCTTAGCGCGTACTTGGTTCTGTGTTTTGGGTGGTGTGTTTTGGGCACACAACCTTAGCATTTGTTGCAAATCTCTACAATATGTTTACGTGTTTTTATTGTTCAAAGAAAAAAATTACCGCACTGTTTTGAGCCATACGTGTTTGTTGGCGTAACTTTGCAAAGGGCATAAACTTCGTTGTGTAGCTACTGAGAATTTTCAGGCCTGAAAACTTTAAACTAAGCACTGTAATGTTCTTCAGAAAAATAAAGAAAAATCACCAACAGTGAAATTGTTTAACTTTGTTTCAGCTATTGGCTTCAACGTTGAGACAGTGACATACAAGAATCTGAAATTTCAAGTTTGGGACTTGGGAGGACAGACAAGCATAAGGTAATAGATCTCTTAAAATCAAAAGATACAATTAAATGTCTCTAAAAAGTGCTAAGTTCCTGGAATTCTCCTAGCTGGCACTTCTGAAAATTGGTTAAGTTTTAAAAACAGCCCGTCATCAGGAGAGCACTTTTCATCTGACAGAATTCAGTTATTAAACCTGTTTTGGACTAAAGGTTGGAAAGAAACAAGTGGATGTTTTCACTTCCATAGTTTTGCTTTGAAAATCAAGTAGGCAATTGTGTGGCATTCTGAGAAAGAGGGAAGTGAGTGATGTAAATCCAAAAAGAGATTTAGATATTCTTAAGAATGCAAAGCTAGGAAGTTGAATTTGGGTATAGACGATCATTTTTTTTTAGTGAGTCATTATATGCATAAGTGTATTGATCTCTTCCGTACTCCGGTACGATTCCTTTTTGAACGCTAGGTAGTAAGGTGCAGCGTAGTTAGTTAATAATAAGTAAGGTGCAGTTAGTAAGGTGCAGGTTCCTTCCCTTGTTAGTTTCAGTAAGATAATTCTGAAAAAGGTGGTTTGTTTTGATCCTTGTTATTTAGTTGCCTGTATGAATTAGTCATTCAAGGTTTCTCTGTTCATCCTTTGGTGACCATAACGATTATCTGTGGGAGAACCTTGTGTGTTTAAACTTTCTTTGCTTCCCTGTCCCGCAGTTATGGACCTGTCGTCCTGCAGGCCGATTCCCACATAAATCTGTCCCCAGCACTTCTGTCCTTTCCATGTTTTCAAGCTGCGTGGTTTTTTTGGTGTGGGGTTTTTTTTTTCTTTTTTTCTGCTATTGGGTGTATTTGTACTGTCTGTTCCTTTTTGTAGCTTCTTGAAGATATTGTCTGCTTGCTTCCTTTCACCCCAGACGCAGTTTTTACTTCCTCTGGGTAATCTGGTTTTTATTATCTGGCTAAAAAGTACTGTTAAACATGCAAATTATATGACTGAAACCTTAACTTTATCTTTTTTCTGCAGGCCATATTGGCGGTGTTATTATTCCAATACAGATGCAGTCATTTATGTAGTGGACAGCTGTGATCGAGACAGAATTGGCACTTCCAAATCAGAGCTTGTTGCTATGTTAGAGGTAAGGAAACAAGGATGACAATGGTATCACTAGAATAGAAATTGAGACATTAAAACCTCTTTTTGGAGTAAATGTGGAATTTGATTCAGTGAATCAAGTGACACTCAACTTCACTTGTGAAACTTCAGCCCTCAGCAGAGGCCTGTGCAGCACCTCTGATGGAAGAGCACGACCTGCGCTGCCACAGTTTTACAGCTGTGTGCCGCGCTGTCTGTCCAGGCAGTACGCTTTGTTACCTTTTGGTTGTGTGAAAATTCACCCCTCTGCGAGAATGGCTGCTCAGTGCTTCAGCAGTAGCAAAATGAGGCCCTGAAGGATTAACAGGAATAAGCATCCTACTGTGTTTTGAAGCTGAAGAACATACAGAGAACAGGGTAATATGAGTAAGAAGACGAGTTGAGCAAAAATTCATTTATTTTTTTTCCCCCCTGATTCCTGCAAGCTCTTTGGTACACCTTGTTAAATCTAGCTACCAGCTTATTTCATAATATAACAGGCAGAATGGGCCATGTTTTGAAATTGCTCCCCCATGGTATCACGCTGGCATTGAAACTAAATACCATTCTTTCACTGAAAAATTTTCTAAAGAACTGAAAATCATTATGAGAACTGCTGAAGTTTCTTTTCATTCTCTGGCTTTTCTCTGCCTAAATAAATGCAGTGAAAGTCCCTGCAACAACTTGCATGATTCCCCTTTCTTTAGGAGGAGGAGTTGAAGAAAGCCATTTTGGTGGTGTTTGCAAATAAGCAGGACATGGAACAGGCCATGACCCCCACAGAAATGGCAAATGCACTTGGCTTACCAGCGTTGAAGGACCGAAAATGGCAGATCTTCAAAACCTCTGCAACTAAAGGCACGGGGCTTGATGAAGCCATGGAGTGGTGAGTAACAGCCTCATTATGCTGGCTTCAGTAGAAAAAAAATACCTTTTCCTGTATTTTTTTTTTTCTTTTTTGAAAGACTGGCTCTGTGGCAAGTCTGTCTGACGTAAAGGACAAGAGTAGCTTTCTCCTGAAAGTATTTCAGCACCACTGAAAGGACTTTTTGCTAAACTGACTTCACCTTTTTTCCTAGGTTGGTGGAGGCCTTGAAGAGCAGGCAGTGACACAGTGAACCTGCGGAGCAGTTTCAGCTGTGTCCAACACCCCTCTGCCTGCTGTCACGTGTTTTCAGGCCACAAATACTTGTAAATAGGACGGATTTGAGTTTGACTCCTGTGACATGGATGCCTCTCTTGAATTGTAAAACTGAACCAAGTGAATGTCTGTGTACATTGTGATATTCCATTTCTTTCTGTTTAAAGGATGTACTTATGTTAATTCGTATGAAAGGCTTACTGGCTGGCAAAGTTGTTTTTTTTTCCAACCCCCCCCCCCCCCCCCTTTGGTGGTTTTCACTATATTTGTGTAATTAAAACACTAATAAAATCTGGAACTGTCAGCTGTACTCATGGGGGTGCTGACTGCTCGAGGCTGCTTGCTTACAGAACCAAGTCCAACCGTTGCCCCTTCCAACAGCCACGGAGCTGAACAGGTGAAGAGGTTTCTTTCACTGTTGAATCTTTCAGTGCAGATAACACCGTGACAGAAGTACGGCTCCCGAGATCAATGGCATGCCTCTAGCTGTTAACACAGCCTTGGTCTTCTGAAAGGAAAATAAATGTCTTCAACAGCCACCTACCGCCCCCGGGGCGCCAGGGCCGTAATTTGGATTTAACTTCAGCCCTCATGAGCTGTTATTCCTGTACTCAGCACAGCCAGAAATGACAGGTAAGGTGCTCTGTACAGCTGCACAAAGCGATGGACAAATCAAAGGCAGGAAACAGATAATTTTCTCTCCAAGAGCTAGGATGTTCACAGGCATGAACAGAGTCATCACGTAACCCATCTTTTAAAAATGAAGTAAAATTTAATAGAAAAGATCATGGTGGTTGTCCAGTTAACTGTACATGCTCTGGTAAATATACATGTTTTGAAAAAATTGTAAAGCTCTTCTTTAAGATCCTAGATGAAAAAGAGGACATGAAAAAATACTAATAAATACAATTAAAATATGTAAATACTTTTTTTTTTAAAGCAGTAGTTCTTTAGCTTGAAATTACTTTTTATAAATTAATCCTCCAGGAACGAAAAAGCCTTTTCATTCCACCATTGCTAAATCTTTCAGTGCATGACTTCGAGGTCTCTTGGCCTTGTAGGTAGGGCGCAGGAATTCTATTTTTCTCTTCCTGGTTTCCGCTTTATTCTTATGTCTCTTCAGCTTCCTCCTCGCAGCAATGTCGGGGTTTGCCACAGTCTAGTGAGAAACAACACGTTTGTTTGTTTAGTTACCACTCACCGTGGTCCCTGTGGACATCAGGCGCTTCCCAAGAGACTGGGGAAGACAAGGCAGGGGTTGTCTCCGGCTCTCAAGCTGCGGGGCTGCCTGGCCCCGGTGACCACGTGTCCTGGTTTGGGCTGGGGGAGTTACCCAGCACAGCACCGCTCCTCAGGGAAGGGGGAAGGCAGAGCATCAGTCAGCCAGAGCCTGCCCCAGAGGCTCGGCTTCAACAGTTCCTTGTGGCGTTCCAGGAATGAAACAAGGAAACTGTCCCCATTCAGGATGAAGTTCTTCCTCAAACTCACCCTCCTCGCCAGGTCTCAAGCCTCTCGAGAAACCCCCTCTCTTTTTCCCAGAAGAGACAGCAGACGCTTACCTGCAACGCCCTCTGCTTTTTCCTCATCGCTCTCTTCTGGTTGGCCTCTTTCTGCACAGAAGAAAAGGCAAGCGAAAAAGCCTCCAGGCCAACTAACTTCTTGAGCAGTTCTATGATTTCCTGGGAAAGGTTCTTCAGCGTTGGATCTAAAAAACCAAAATTAACGTGCTTAATCTTTTCAGCATACAGAATGAAAGCCAAGAGCCCAGCCAGGATTCCTTGTTCTTTACTAAAGGACAACTGTACTGATTCATCTTGCCCAACACACCAGAGAGCGCAGAGCTAAGGCGCTTGTGACATCTGCTGGTTCTTCACCAGCTTTCCCAGAGGACCACAAGTGGCACTTCATCCAGGCAAACAAAAAATTATACTGCTGCGAAGCCAAAGTTTTTTTTCAGAAGGGTAATGGCATCCCAGAGGTTATGAAAAGCGGCTTGCTGTGTATGACCACCAGGGCTCCTTTGGGACAGGCTTTGTTGGAAAGCGTGGCGACTCCAGCCTTGTCAGTCAGCATCTCTGCCCAGTACAAACAATAAGGGCTGGCTTAATGGCTAGGGTCACTAGTTAGTTACCATGTATTAACTACAGTCACTGAAAAAGGTAATTGGGAGGGGGGAAGAGGCTACAAAGAGATGCTAAGGGAAAACAGAGCAGGGGAAATGTTTCCCCCAGTCTTCCAACAGATCCCTCTTCCAAGTGCTTGTACAGCCTCCGGAGAAGCTCGTGTAAGCTGCCTGCCTCCACGGCACCCTTCAGTGACAACTTCCCTGGATCTACACCCCCTGTCATGTGAGAAACCATCTCTGCAGTTATTCTGAAAAATCATTTAAAGGCCCCTGGGTCTTGTGCTGGCAGAGAAAGCAAAAAGTTCATCTTTCTCGACACACGAGGCTGTCAATCGCTACCGTATCTTTTCCAAGTCTCTTACTTGATTAGCTAAAAAAAAAAAAGTAGCCAAGGCAGCTGTTCCCTACCTAGAACACTGGTGCTGCCTGCTGCCCTCCTCCACGTTTTGGCACTTTGCTTTTGTATCCTTTCCAAGATGTGGGGACCCCGTGCTGCACACTGACTCCTCATGGCATGTACAAACCACAGATTTAGAGTAATACAACTCTTTTTTGGTTTGTTGTCCGTTCTTTTCCTGACATTGGATTTTGCTTGACTTGACACATTTTCATGAACTACCTAAACACCAGTGTCTTGCTCTTAAGCGAAGCGTCTCTCACGTTAAATGGGAAGTTGGTTTGTCTTTCCCCCACCAGGCATGACTTCTTAAGGTCTTTTAAAACAAACATGGGTCTCCAGGGAGAGAGTGTTGCTCAGGTTGTGTCTAGCAGGACGGAGTGACCTGGGCTCACTGAGGAGGAAGGGAGAAGTCCTGTGCACAGTTCGGTGGGTGTACGCCGGCCGGCCGGCACACAGGGTGTGCTGTATTCCCACAGCGCACAGCGCTCTTTCCCAATCTGCAAACGTCACTTTCAGTCCCTGTGCACACATGCCACAGGTCATTTTCTCTGTTTCAACAAGGGGAGCTTGGGGAAAACATCAAGCAAGCACCACCAAACGGGCAAGTCCAACTTGCAGTCTCTCGCTCTACAGTAACACAAGCTGCCATAAAACACACCCTGTTTTACATTAAAACTGAGACACACTTTTAACCGTAGGGCATGGATCTTCATGCCCCTAAGCCTTACAGCAGATCTAACATGGCAAGTCAAAAATAATGACACTTGGCAACAAGCCCTGTTCTGGCTTCCTTAAGACCCACGCTCTGTTCCTCTCCTCAGCAAGGACTCCATGAGTCCTGCTGCCATGAGCCCACCCTTGAGGACTACACTTTTTCCACTACATCACATGCCCAAGTTTTACCCACTTGCATGCAGGAGCCTGCCTAAACTTTATTCCAGTCTTTGTCAACACATAGATTTTTGTTTCAGCTGTCATACACTCTCCTCCTTTCCTGATATTCTGCTGAGACCAAGTAGGTGAAATTCACTGATTATGGTATCTATGCCTCAACAGACAAAAGGAATGACAGGCAGCATTTGTGCCGACGCACAGCTCTGACGCTTTTCTCTTTGCCGGTCTTTGTGGGGGAAATCGCTTACCTTGCTCTGCATAGGTGCTGTTCAGCTCCCTGTACAGAGGGGCGAGAATTGTTGGAAGGTAGGGCTTGATCCTGTCTTTCCCCAGATCCACTGAGATCGCTCCCAGGAACTTGAAGATGCAGGTTCTCTGAAAGTGAGAGCGTGGGACATGAAGTAAGGAAGGTTGGAAGGAAATCGCCTCACTGAACTGCTACAACAGTGCCGTGCGTCACTGTTCCATGCACGAGGAGTTGTTTCACACACCCAAGTCAGAAACCTGCTGCCGTTACAAGGCCTTACTGCGGCCAAGTACAGCCCTTGGATGAGACACAACCCCATGGATCTGTAAACGTGTGAGCTGTGACCCCACTGCGTCAGCAGCTGTTAACGCTCTGAACAACAGGCGTCTTCTCACTGTCTTGTACTGAGGCAGCTGAAGACATGAAAACTCAACCTCTCTTAACTGCATCACGGGGAGCAACAGTGCTTTCCCTGACGCTCTCGCACGCCTCCCCTTCTCCTAGCAAGTCACTCCCCACTGCCATTCCTCTGCCTGCACGAACCCAGCACTCCTGGGTTTTCAAAGGCGGCACTCTGTCTGTCCCCTTCAGCTTGGTGCCTTTGGGTTTACCACCCTTCCCTCACCCCACAGAGGGCTGGAAGCATCAGCAAGGAGAAGCAGAGTGGCACAAGCCTTTCCTGAGAATCCCGAACTGAAACACCTGTTGTTTCTTTGGCACCCACTAATCCTTGCCTCAGCACCAGCTCCCAGCACCCTCTGCAGCTGGTCCCCTGGAGGCAAAGAGCCAGAGCAACACTCTCTGGTGGAAGTGCCTGCCACCCCAAAAGCAGCTGGTCTAACCCTGTTCTTACCTTTAAAGGCACCTTAGGGGAATATGCTGCTTCTCGCTTTGCCATGAGAGACAGCTTCTTCATTAACCACAGCAATGTGGCTGGCCGGCCTTTCTCTTCTGTGTCCTCTCTTTCTCCCTCTCCTTGAGCAGAAATGTCTTTCTCTTCCTCATCTTCTGAGGCTTCCTGCTCCTCTACTTCATAGCCGAGTTCTCCTTCGGCCTCTTTACCTTCTTCTGAGGCAGGGGCTAGCAAGTAAATAACTTTGGCCACAAAAAGCAAATTCTTTATAACCTGAAGTGTGAAAACAGCGTTGTCGGTCACAGTGGGTTCCCTCATTGTCAGCACCAGGGCATGTAAGAGCCAAGGCTATATCTGAAAGAGGAACCTGCCAACCCAGGAGGCTGTAATGGCTTCACCCACTGCCACGTGAGCACCATGTCGCTCCTGAGGCAGGAAGGCCCACCTCAGCACCCTTCCCCCATAAGCTACTGTGCCTTTTGGGCTGCAGCACATCCTGAGGCAGGGCTGCTCCTTTTGCCTTCGTCATCTCCAGCACCCCTGGCTCCCCACAAGGAAATCTCTGACTAGGTTCACAGTGCAGTCACGCCTTCAGGCAACAGCGGACAGCTGGACAAAATGCTTCCAGCAAACAGCCAGGGCTCCAGTGCAGCTGCAGGGAACCAGCACCAGTGATCTGGATCCCCACTCCAGGAGGTGGTTGCCCAACCTGCTCCAGTCCAGGCTGCAGAACCAGACTCTCCCTGACAGGAGGGATCCCAGTCCTGCCCTGCATGGTGCCTCCCCTT